TGTAAAAGAATGAAACTAGAACACTTTCTAACACCATACACAAAAATAAACTCAAAATGGATTAAAGATCTAAATGTAAGACCAGAAACTATAAAACTCCTAGAGGAGAACATAGGCAAAACACTCTCTGACATAAATCACAGCAGGATCCTCTATGACCCACCTCCCAGAATATTGGAAATAAAAGCAAAAATAAATAAACAGGTAATTCTTACTAACTGTTTTCCTCAGAAGGAACCTGCCTAAGACCCCTAGGAGGAACTTGAGCTGCAGTGCTTGGGCCAGCAAAACAGAAGGGAGAGGAGGTGCCTGAGATGGGAACAGCCCTAGGCTTGCTAGCTATAAAAAGATTGCTTTTTTGCTTTTGGGGAGCAGTCATCTTTATTATGGCTGTTCTTTACTTACATTCTTTCCCCTAGAATATACAATGTTGGAGAAACACAGGTAAATTCCCCTGATATTCATTATTTCTAGACTAGGTTTAACCACAGCCCTCTGGGTACAACTCAGAAGTTTCTTAGCATCTCTGCATACCTGTTACATCATGGATTCCTGAGGCTGTTGGGGTCCTTCAATGGACCGGAACCTGGTGGTACAGAGTCAACGATAAGAAAGTGAAAGAGAGAAAGAGGCTGATATCCCTTGGCTTACGCAGAGGACCAATAAAGTCCTTGACACAGGACTTGCGTCGCTCACGAAGGCACCAGGTGCCCTCTCGAGGGGGTCTTAGAAGCCCGGGCAGAAAAGTGAGCACCACGGGTCTCCACGCTCCAGAGAGTCAGCCAGAAAAAGAGAGAGAGAGAGAGAAAGAGAGAGAGACACACACACACACAAAAGACCCGGGGACCTAAGCTTGATGAAGCAAAGGTGCTTTAATGAATTTTCTATGAGTATATATAGGCTGCAGTACAAGAAACTTCTTTCGGGAATGATAGAGATCAGAAAACCAAACGTACAGCAACCGTTACCGAGGGAACAAGGGATAATGTTAGTCACAAGGTCAGGAGACAATCCATATCTCAAGAAAGGGGAAGGAGACTGAGCAGTTTTGTCCTAAAGAGAATGTTTACTAAAGGAGACCCAAGCTTGCCTCACACAATGACCTCAGTCCCTGGGAGCAGCGTGCTGTTCCGCTTGAAGAGGGACAAAGGACTCATAGGAGACAGCACGTAGGAATCCTCCCGTCAAACATTCCCCGACATGAGGCTACACTTGGTGGAGATTTAGCAAACATCTGGTCTTTTCTAGAGGACCTGAAAGATGTGGGTACCAGATATTATGTATTCTAATATCAAATGGTAAATTCATCCTGATTTTTTTTTTTTAATTCCAAGGGTAGGACAGAGACACCTTAATTGTAATTCTTATTACACTGAGTATTTGCTAAGAATACTCAATGAATTGCAGTATACTTTTTTTCCCACAAGATGGTATACATTGGGCATCTCAGTTTCATGGTCACTAACCGACTGGGGCAGAGGGTAAAGGGATCTTTAAGCACTCATTCTTTTTTTTTTCTCCATTTATTTTTATTAGTTGGAGGCTAATTACTTTACATCATTGCAGTGGTTTTTGTCATACATTGAAATGAATTAGCCATGGATTTACATGTATTCCCCATCCCGGTCCCCCCTCCCACCTCCCTCTCCACCCGATCCCTCTGGGTCTTCCCAGTGCACCAGGCCCGAGCACTTGTCTCATGCACCCAACCTGGGCTGGTGATCTGTTTCACCCTAGATAATATACATGTTTCAATGCTGTTCTCTTGAAACATCCCACCCTCGCCTTCTCCCAGAGTCCACAAGTCTGTTCTATACATCTGAGTCTCTTTTTCTGTTTTGCATATAGGGTTATCGTTACCATCTTTCTAAATTCCATATATATGTGTTAGTATACTGTAATGGTCTTTATCTTTCTGGCTTACTTCGCTCTGTATAATGGGCTCCAGTTTCATCCATCTCATTAGAACTGATTCAAATGAATT